GCTTATATCAAAATTTTGCAAGAGATTTTTTTAAAAGGTAATTTCATAAGTGAAATTTTAAGTTATAATTAATTTTTTAAAGAAAGCAACAATTTTATATTATATTTGATTGTATAATATATAATAATTTATAAAATATGTAAGGGTTAAATTGTAGCTATCACTTACATAATTGCAGTACTTATTTGCAAAAATTATTACTCTAACTTACCCTAATCTGAGAACCTGAGAGAACTTTCTAGCTCTGAGATAAATCGATACTCATGCAATTGAAATTAATCCATCTGATTTCTAATTACAGTAGCAATAAATATAATAAATAGTATCCAATAATTCTGGTGATATTAGTAATATTAGATATTGTTCAATTAAAATTTGATTTGACATACAACATATCTAATTTATACAATATTAAAAAAAAAATTATTAAAAAAATTTAATTGCAATATATTACAAAACTATTTAGTGACACTCATATTCTAGTTACTTATTTCTATAAATTAATTTAAACTTCACAAAATTTTAATTTGGAATACTATATATCTAATTCACATATTAAAAAAAAAAATTTAAAAAAACCATTGTACAGTATCTATACTATACATATAACAGAATTCAAGATAGCATTATCTGCAACCTGCAAAAATTATCCTCAGCAAATTTCAACTACCACTTAAATGCTTTTTTTTCATATTTGATATACTTTACACTATACGCATAGTAAAAAACTATATTTTTTACAAATTAGGTATTATTCAAATATGTCTTATAATTTCCTAAATCTAGAATAAAAGTTTCAAGACTATATTAGCTGTAAGATTAACATTTTAAAAAAAAAAGTTCTTCAAAAAAAGTCTTACAAGCCTACTTAACGATTTACTATTTAGTCATTAGTAAATATGTAGCACTAGTAAAAGTTCCTGGGGAATAGGATTATATGGGATTAAATCCGCCAACTATTAGTAAAGCGAAAGACAAACGTATTCTGAAAATTATTTAATTGTAGATAGCATGCTTAGCCACTTGTTATATGAGCGATTACACTTTTATATTGAGTATACTCTAAAACTAATATAAATAATCTGTGTAATGATCTATATTCAATTGTATCACACTGGCCAATCAAAACGACTTTCCATCATGCTAGTACTGCATAGGGAAAACCTGTAAGTAAAATTTTATTATGCCGATCCTAACGATTTGGCACTGGGATATGACCAATTATAGGATATAACAAATAATCATTTATTATATAGCTTATATAGTAAACGTTTATTTGTAATATCCAATGATTGGTCGTGCCCCAGTGCCAAATCTTTAAGATCGGCATAATGATTAACAAATAAATTTTACTTATAGGGTTTCCCTGTGCATCCCTCATACGCTGGTGATTATAAATAATAGAACAAAAAAAAAATTTTAGTTAGATCGGATTATCTCACATATTTCTGGGCATATCCGCTAATTTTTTTTTTTTTTTAATTTGCAAATAGCATATTTTTCATCAACTAAAAGTTTAAAAAAAATAAATGATCAAAATTTTACACAGGCACAAGCTTTATTTCAAATGTTGTGTTGCATTATTTTTGCTCGTTTTTACAGCAACACGACAGTAAAACTAAAAAAATTTTTTTTTTCTATCTAATAATTTTTGGTCTTCACCATCTGGTGTAGCTGCCCCGAGCTCTGATTACATCACGGATTTATTCTGGCATTGAACGAATTAACCTTATGCAGGTTTCAACATCGATTGCCTGCCAGACCACTTGAATTTTTTCCCAGAGGTCCTTCTCACTTGAAATTTGACCAAGAAGGTCCCTAAGGTGACAGTCAACTTCGTTCTACAAGTGTTCGATCAGTTTAGATCGGCTGATTGGGGGCCAGTCAAAAAACTTTATCTTGTTTCTTTTAAGCAACCGTTTAGTCAAGGTCGCCGTATGACAAGATGCTCCATCTTGTTGAAAAACGACTTCCCCAACTTCAAATCCATAATCCCTGATCGTCCACATCAAATCTTCGCAGAGTACTTGACAATACAAATCGCTATCCATCGAACCATCGATTTTACAGTAGCTGCTGACGCCATGAGAGAAAAAACACCCCCAAATCATAACTGAACCACCTCCATATTTTACTGTGGGCTTAACGTGGTACTGGTTTAACGGTTCTCCATGACGCTTCCGGTAATACTGCTTACTGTCTGACCCAAAAATTTGAAACCATGACTTGTCTAACCAAATTACCTTTGACCATTCTTCGACTATCCAATTTTCGTATTTTTTTGCAAAGTTAAGCCTCTCTTTTCAATGACTATCGTTTAGGTAGGGTTTTTTTTTCTTAACCCCTGACACCAACTCATGGTTTCGAAGTATTTGGCGAATAGTAGACACCGAAATTACAATATTTTTATTTTTTTTGAGGTAAGACCTTACTTTAATGGCAGTGGAGTAGCGACGGGAGGTAATGAGATTTACTATTTTTCGTTGGGCTGGTTCACTCAACAAAGTTGGACGACCAACCCTTTCTAAATCTTTAAACGAGCAGGTTTCTAACCACTTTTTTTTGATTTGTGAGATTGAAAAAACTAACATTGTGGGCCCAACCCACTGCCCTTGTAGTAGACCCTTTTTGAAGTGAAAGTAGAATTCGGGCTCATTGAGAGGGTGTTGTTTGGTTCTTTTTTTTTCTAATCCGATTATCAATCAAGTCTAACATTGTACAAAATGCAGAATCAACAACGTGATTTGCATTTGTATATATATTTACGTGACACAGGTCATGTAATCTGATTGTTGTTAAAAACAAGCAAAAATAATGCAACACATGTTTCGTAATGCACGTGTGATTATTTTTGTATTCACAATAATAATGACTACTAAAATTCTAGGACTAGAAAACTATGCTATTTGCGAATTAAACAAAAAAAAATTAGTGGATACGCCCAGAAATGCGTGAGATAATCCGATCTAACTAAAATTTTTTTTTGTTCCATTATTTATAATCGCCAGTGTATAATACAGTCAGACCTCTCTAAGTGCACCCTCTCTAAGTGCACACCCTCTATAAATGCATGCCCAAGTGGCGGCCCAAATTTAACCTCATAAATGCACCTTTTCTTATTATTCTCTATATGCACATTATTAAAGTGTGGTCCAAATTAGAGAGATCTGACTGTATATAGTATATATATACTGTATATGGTCACATGCGACATTTGAATCTGTGCCCGGTTTGTCGATCATCATGCACGTTTGTGTAACATCTACGCGATATTTTATGTTATTGATTTAAAATAAAAAAGTTTATTAAATTTAGTTTAGTAGCTTTCGGCAAAAAGTAAAAAAAAAACTCTGAAAATCTTAGAAAAAAACAAATCGGTGAAAATTTTCTTTATTTGAACTTTAAACGATGATTTCTCGATACTAACCTATCCAAATTTAATGAAATTTTTTTTATTTTAATTCTAGGAGTTAATAGAATTATAATAAAAGAAATTTGGATAGCTGGTTGTCGAGAAATATTCATAAAAAAATTGCCCGCAGTTTTTATTTATAGGTGCCTAAACTTTGAACGAAGATTACTTGGCACTTACCTAGACAAATTCGATCAAGTTTTTTTATTTTAATTCTATATGCTCAGAATTAAAATAAAACAATTTGATCGAATGTGACTAAATAAGTGTCGAGTAATTTTCGTTTAAAGTTTAGGTTCCTATAAATTATAAATATAAAACTGCAGTTAATTTTTTTTTGGCTTTTAATGAATATTTCTCAACAACCAGCTATTAAAATTCGACCAATTTTTTTTATTTTAATTCTATGATCCCACAGAATTAAAATAAAAAAATCCATCGAATTTGGATAGGTTAATATCGAGAAATCGTCGTTTAAAGTTCAAATAAAGAAAATTTTCACTGATTTTTTTTTCGAAGATTTTTGGGGGTTTTTTTTAACTTATTGCGATGATTTCTCGAAACCTACAAAACCAAATTTAATGAACTTTTTTTATTTTAATTCTATAACATTATGAAATTAAAATAAAAAAAATTTCACTGATTAATTTAAGTAGTTATTGAGAAATTATCGCTAGAAGTTTTAAAAAACTTCCGAATTTTATTTAATAGGATCTTCAACGTAGATGTTACACAAACGTGCATGATGATCACCGGGCACAGATTCAAATGTCGCTGGTCACATCACCTATACTCATCAAAAAATGGAAATTTTTATCAGATTTGGTCACATGTCTTGCTTATTATTGATCAAAAATTCATGCCACTATGAAATTTTCTAATACAGACTTTACAAAATAACAAATTACAGAAAAAAATAAGCCATAAATGAGTGTTGCCAAAAGAAAACCCGACAATTTAAATATAGTTTATATTTAAATTGTCGGGTTTTCTTTTGGCGACACTCAAATCTGAAAGTGCAGCATCGAATTTACGGTTTATATTTTTAATACCACTTAAATTAAAAGACAAAAAGCTATTTGAATTTATATGAATTTTCTTTGATGACTATAAGTGACGTGACCATATACTATACAGTAGATTAAAAAAAACTTTAAATACTGTATATCAGAATATGGAATATCAATAGAAACCAAGCAAATTGTTTTTAGTAAATTTTTTAAAACTTAAAATTAAAATACCTCGACTATTAAACCAAACTTGATAAAATTTTTTTTATTTATTTTAATTCTATAACTACAGTATATAAAATTAAATTTTATCAAAAAAAATTTATTTAAAAACAACTTGCTTGGTTTCTACTAACACTCATATATCTTTTGTTACCGATCTTAATACACAAACTATAAACTACTAATTTCTTGTATTTTATTAATAAAGCTATAAAATCCCAAAAAAACTAATTAATATAAATTCTACATAGATCTTGTTATATAAATCAACCCACAACAAAACGTGACAATTTAAAACTCTTAATGTCATACTGAATGTGAATACAGTAAATTTATTATATTATTATTTGCAGGAATTATACACCGCACCTAAATATAACTTTTCGCTGATTCCTATACTGAAGGACTTCTCTCCTAACCAAGATATCAATAGCACGTCCGACAACAATGGCAGAAAAATTCTTGGTAAATTAAAAAAAAGCCAATTATTATATTTGAAATTAGAGTTATAAAAATGTAAAAAGAGATTTACATACCTTATCAAGTTCTTTGATTATTCGTTGTGTAGAGGCTCTTGAACCCATAGGGATGCGACTCTTGATCTCTCTTTCCACAACTTTCAATTGGTGTGCCACCTCTGCTTGAGACATACCTTCAACTAAATAAAAATAACGATGGCGTTTTGAAATAACGATTATAAATTATACAATAATTTAAAGTTATTCAAAGTCTATCCTTACCCTCCCCTGATTGTAAAGCATCCATGGTAGAATGTTTAAATAAACGTATCGCCTCATCAACATGTTGTTCCGCTACACGCGGTGACAAAGTCATTTTAGCCAAAGATTCGGAAATGCGGACTATTGCTTCCAATTGCCTATTAAAAAATATAACAACTATTATCGCCATAATCTTAAGTTTGAAATGCTTTATTAATCAAGATAATACCTAACAGTTATTGGAATGGAAGAACGAACGTTGCTTTGTTGCTCCATATGCTTCACCTCGGAACGTATGTCAACAAAATGACTACTCAACTTTTCTGCAGCCTCTGAGGATAAACGTGGTGCGCATTTTCTACAAAACAAAAAAGCGCCAGAATTAGTAGTGCACGTAATAAATCAGACACGTTTATATAAAACAGCACTACACACAGCCTTGCATATGCAATGTATTTCTTCATTTTAGTTATGTCTATTTCGCCAACAGCAGATTCCGGAGGAGCTCGGCGCATATGTATACCCAAAACATGCCTGGCAATATCCTATAATTTTAATAAACATGCGTAAGACGCACAGAACTTATAATAGATAAAAATGAATTATAACAATTATTACCCGATCTCTTGCATCATTATGCTCATCTTTTACGATAAAAATCATGTCAAATCTCGATAGGATCGTCGTTTGAAAATCGATATTCTAAAATGTAATTTACTTTAGTTATGCAAGTAGTTTATATGATTGCTATAAACTTGCTTACCTCTCCAGGTGATTTCATGTCATCATAACGACCAAAAATTGGATTTGCGGCAGCCAGGACCGATGTACGCGAATTAAGAATAGTAGTTATACCAGCTTTGGCAATAGAAATAGTTTGTTGTTCCATTGCTTCATGAATAGCTACCCTATCTTCATCCCTCATTTTATCGAATTCATCTATACATATAACACCTCCATCTGCTAATACCATCGCTCCTCCTTCGAGACGAAATTCGCGCTATTAATGTTAAGTAAGTAATCCCGTATTAAATTTTATTTTTTCTATCAACTTTAAAAAAAAAAGCCTTACCGTAGCAGCATCACGAACTACAGCAGCTGTAAGACCCGCAGCGCTGCTGCCTTTTCCTGAAGTATAAACAGCTACTGGTGCAACCTAAAATAATAATGTAGTTTAAGTATTGCTAATTTAAACATAAATCATCTTCATTTGCGTCATATTACAAACCTGATGTACAAATTTTAAAAATTGACTTTTAGCAGTACCAGGATCACCTAGCAATAGAACATTGATATCGCCTCTGAGTTTCATTCCATCTGCAAGGATTTTTTTGCTGCCGCCAAAAAGTAAACATGCAATAGCATGTTTTATATCTATAAAAAATTATTACCAGAATTATTTTATGATTTGTGCTTTCGTTCCTAATACAATTACTAATATTAAAAAAAAACCTCTATTTCCGAAAATGGAGGGTGCAATACTATTGGTGAAAACACTGTAAAAGTCAGGTCTTCGTGACATCGCAATGATTTCTTCTTCTTCTGCATGAGTAAAACTACCTAATTCCTGTCCGACTTGCTCTGTGTCAAGTTCAAGGCCGATGGCACGTATATAGGGTATACGAGTGCCAACACCATGGCTTTGTTTCTACAATAAATATACGGATTAACTTTATTTAAACCACTAGAAAAATTTGACAAAATTTTACCTTGGATAAACTATTTTGGAAAATATCATAAATTCCTACGATCGTAACACGCCTTCCAGGGATAACTTTATTGGTCAAATATCTTTCAAAACAAGATAATAATTATAATCTTGATAAATGACACCTCAACCTTCACTACTTTACGTAAAGAAAATAGTACCTGTCTACATGCACCGTTATGTGACGTGGAAGATCACCAACCGGAAGTAATTCTGGTGATTCTTGAAGCTTTAGAACTTGCTGGTCCACAAACATGCATTTGTCATGAATTACAATGTATGGATCAAGTCCACAGTCCTTGGGTCCAATCCCAGAGGGATCACTGTAAAATGATTTAGGTTGAAGGGATCGCACAATTGTTATAATTCATTTAATTCATATTTAATAAACAATATTATTACCTATCACAGGCTCTTGGGAGTTGGATTCCTGAAAAACCACCGGGAACTGGAAGCATTTTGCATTGCCGGCATGTTTTACACATTATCTGAATATTAGTTGCTTTGGCAGACAGATTCGTTGCCGCAATGATAATGCCTGAAACACGAACGAGCTGAGAAATATGTTCTGACTGCGTATAATTTTTAGTAAATGAATAAATTTGACGTTTAATGTTTAAATACTTTGACAGTTTATTAAGCCTTTAATGTCCTACATTAAGTTTCCGTAAATCTTGAGTGGTTTCATTAGAACGAAGCAAAATTTGGAACGTTGGTATTGTATCATCTTGCAGAAGCTGTTTGGCTAGGTTTTGTACTGCAACCTCGAACTTGAAAATGGCAACAATCGCGGTTACAATATGTATTTTTAAATTTTTATATATACTTGTCACTTACCAACGGTAAAAGGTCGGCCGGGCATGTTTTTAACTTGTCAGAAATTACACGGTCAACACCATCAAGGTGTTCTAATTGAACTACAAGGCTATAGTTGCGGCCCTCGGCATTACGCTTAATCTTTTCCCTGTATGAAAAGTAAAGTCATTAATATAACGATAGCAATGAAAAGACAATTAATTACTTATACCTGTAAATAAAATGTTCTTCCATACGAAATTGATCAACAAATTTAAAGAGTTTTTGCTCAATGACGACGCGCGAATCGCTTGGAGTCTTGGACGCGTGCACTCCAGCATGGTAAACATTTCCAATATCCCATCCAGTAGCTGGCCCTGACATTGCGACAACTTTTGACGGCAGGAATAACTAACAAGAATAAAAAAACGCGAATTATCCGTTAAAGAACATATATTGTGATATGGAACCGAGAATGTCGCGTGAGCACGTGCTCTTATTGCGCGAATATAAAGATTACTGGATGAACCTCACGTGGTATTTCAACTATCAGTTAAGATAGAAACTACATAAAGCTTCTTTGCAACTTTTCTTTAAAACATAAAATGCTGGATAAGGTTAATATATTTACGGCGGTACTGACGCGCATGTTTCATAATTTACTAACTATTTCGTTTTATAGGCATCCGTTGAAAAAGAAATTGTCGTTGTGACTGAGCAGGTACGGTTGAATCCTTTTTTTTTCTTTCTACTTGTAAACTGCAATAAATTTTTATTCTGATCCTTTAGGAGGTCGCAAAGAATACAAAAGCAACTAAAGAGCCACCTAAAGGTAAATGGCGGCGGTGGAAAGTATCAATATATGCGATCGATGAAACAGGGGAAAAGTGTCCTCTAACTTTCGTTGAAAAAGTAGAATATAATTTGCATCAAACATTTTCTAACCCGCGACAAGGTCTGTTTGATTATGTTTAAGATTGTATTACTCTTCCATAGAACCATCAAAGATTGGTTGCTAAATATGCAAAAGAGCATACAAATAATTTAGTAACTTTAATAATGAATAATATTAGCTTACTAGTAATGCGAAATTAATTTCATTTTAGTTATTTCTAAAGCACCATTTATACTCACTGAAACTGGCTGGGGTGAATTTGACATGAAAATTGTATTTCATTTCGTGGATAAGAATATTCCGCCCTCGTCCATATACCATGACCTCAATTTCCAGAAACCTCTCTATGAAGTCTCTTATACATTGGTAAATAAGATGTGTCTCGCGTGTTTTTTTTCATATAATGTATCAATACTAATTGAGTCATGGTATTGGACAGAAATTCGTTAATCCCGGTCCGTCTTTCCGTAAATTGCTGTTTCAAGAGATACCTCTTGATTCACCAGCCTCTCAAAAAACCACACCTAGCAGACAAAAAAAATCCAAATCTTCAACATCCATGTCCAAATGGCAGAGAACAGACTCACCAGTCACTTCAACATATGAATCACCTCAGTCTTCGCGTTCTTCGTGTTCAATAGGTGAATCTACAAATGACAAGGAGAATTGTCAAGTGCGTTATATTATGTCATATTTATTTAAGATTTTCATAAATTATGATATGGTATTCTAATTTGCAACTTTTATATTATTTGATAACTTTAAAGGTGGATTATAACAAGCTTGCCAAAAATCTTTACGATTTGGAAGGTGATGATATTCTTGAGGTGATACATCTTGTAAAAGAGCATCGAACAGGCGACATGTATATTAATGAAGAGATTGAAGGTAAACATTTGAAGGATGTAAACTCGCAAAGTTGTATGTTATTTACGATTAAAAATTTTAATGCAATTGTAGGTGAATTTCATCTAGACCTACATACTCTTGGAGATAATTTACTGCAGATTTTATGGGATTTCACAGAATCAAGACTTCTGAAAACTATGTCTTACTGAATTACTGATTTTATGGCTAGGAAAGATACATGTTACAAACAAGGTTTGTTTCCTCAAATTAGAATACCTCTTAGAAAAACTATGACCGTTTAATATTAAAGATGGTTATTTTATTTTATTTTAATAGGTTTTGATAGAAATTATTGATAGAAAATGGAAGAATAACAATTCAAATCACACACAAAACTTTCGTGAAAATCAAGCAATTTGATACATAATTGACATTATTACATTATATCACGTTTTATCTAGCATTATGGTAATGGATATGTATAGTATATATAGATGGAAATATACAGTATATATTACGTTAAAAATAAAATAAAAAAATTAATTAATAAAATAATATTACTGTATTTATTAGTTTAAATTAATAATATGTAAATTATTTATATTTTACTTAAATTATAATATAAACAATATAATTCAGTTAACCCTTGCTATAATCAAACTTCGAGCTTCAAAATATAGTGTGGTTATAAAAAAAAAAATAGCCAATTCGTGATTCTTTTGTAAACAATAGTATTGTTATAATCAGTGTTGGCAATTTAAAATTGCCAACACTGGTTATGAGGAAATCTAATATAGGTTTTATAATAGAGCTGTATCCAACTCTACCCACAAGGTAAGTCATCTTTTTTTCAAGATAACCTTGGAGTTCTAATAAAAGTTGTAGAGCTTATTTTTGTGGTTCTAATAGTAGTAAAATTGTTAAAATTGGCCTGGTGGTTGCTAAGATATCTTAGCTTTTCTCTTTACAATCATATAAAATTTCTTTAAAATTTTTAAAAAAAATTTATATAATTGTAAAGAAAAGCTATGATATCTTAGCAAGAAAGATTATCTTGAAAAAAAGATAACTTACCTTGTAAATAAAACTGGATTTGGCTTTATTATAAGATCTATATTAGATTCTCTTCAACTTTTATTATAACAATACTATTTTTATTGTTTACAAAAAAATTATAAATATATATTAGTAATTGAATATTACTAAAACAGAAGCATATGGGCTGGTTTTGTTTTTTTGGGCCTTTTTTAGATAAACAGTTACATGAAGTTTTTGCTCTAGTAATGTTAAAAAGATAATAAACGAAGCATTTGTTATAATTAATTAATAAAAGAGCTTTTTTTAGTATTTAAACAAGATAAAAAACAAATAAAATTAACAAACCAACTATTATAAAAAGTGATATTTTTACTATTTGTTGACATATTCAGATGTTTTAGAATTGGTTAATTATTATTTAATTGGTTTCTAACTGTTTAAGAGTAAATTCAGAAGCAATTTTTCAAAAAACAGCCTTTTTAATTTATTTTTGGTTTATAATAAAATATATAAATATTGCAATTTTCTATATATTTAATTAGAAGTATAAGGTTAGTTAATTAGTAATCCACTAGTCAACCAGAGATAAAAATTATAGGTCTTTAAATGTGGCATATGTGCATTTAAAACTTTTTTTATACTAAGTTAATTACTTTTTAAACATAAAAGACTTTTGTAGAGCTTGTCAAAATACATCTAATAGCAGTTAAAGTATCAAAATCGGCCTGGTGGGTACTAAGTTATTTTTAAAAAATATTTCTTTTACTATATAAATTTTTTTTTTTTTTTTTTAATTTTTTAACAGTTTTGCCAGTGCTAAATTTATTAAAACTATATTTAGATGAGAGTTGAACTCTCTTAAACAATACAATACAATATCATTTATAACTATAATAGGGAGTTTTGCAATTGTGAGCCTAACATTACCTGGCTGCGATAAATGTGCCTATATGCGACTTGTCACATCAACCTGTATACAAGTTAGATAAACTTTGTCAGCCCATCAAAGCTTTTTCCTTCATATTCTCTTTCTTTACAGAGAGCAAAATAAAGTAATAATTAGTGATGCAGATATTTCTCAAGGTAGTAACTATTTATGACATTATGGCTATGATATAGAGGTAGTACTACTCCGAGGCTATATTGCTGTGAGGTAGGTGCCATAAGTGAGGTAGTGTGCTATAAGTAATGTAGTATGTCATATACCCAAAAAATTTTTCTGGCCAATCAACTTTTGAGAAATCAACATTAAATGTCATAGGACAACTTTTTACTGATTGCCCGATGCAAATCAATTGCCCGGAAACTTATACACTTTAAAGTACTTTTGAAGAATAAATGTTTCATTTTACTAAGAAAATTTCTGTAAAAGCAAAGATATTAATCCACACTTCCAAGAACTTCACTTAGAGGCGAATATACTGCTAATACTAGTTATATTAACTATATATATAAGTTTTAAATGCCAAAAACGGTCAACAAAAAAAGATTAAGACATTACATATAAGTTTTAACTTAAAGAGCTTTGAGTATACTGTTATATATTATAATAATAATAAGCTTGTACTAATATTTTACATATTCTAAATATTATATAGTTATACTACTAGATAGTAAACGAAATCTTGAGTTAAATAGTATGCCGATAATATATGTATAAGCATTATTATTTCATTATTTACATGGGCTAATTATCATACTGCATCTTTAATAAAAAGCACTATACTAAAAATACCAGTACCTGAACTTTTTTTATTTCTTGACAAGATTTATTGGTTGACAAAAACAGCCTTTTCCATAAACTTTCGCACAAACTAACTATACAGTATATATTATTTATACACTGATTATGCTGAGATCATTAACTTAAACGGATTAGCCAAAAAATTATTTGGCCAGGTGTTCTAGGATTTATGAAAACAGCTGTAAGTTTATAATTTCATCAAATAATTACAAATAGGGTGGTTGGCGCAAGTGCATGCCACTGGTGCAGTATTATAGCGGGCTCTAATTAAAAACCGGTAAAAATTATAGCTGTTTTTATAATTCCTGAAATACCTGATAAAAATTTGCTGAATGATTTTTTAGCCAGTTTGATTAAGTTGTGATTTCGGCATAATAGATTCAATAACGATAAAAGATAAAAATTTAATAATATTGACAATATTGCAATCTGTAAAACGTCAATAACAATAAATTTTTTTAAGACTATAGTATATGAGAGCTTAAATTAAATCAATTGCATGCAAATATTGTTAGTCATTATGATGCAAAATAGTTTTTATTATACAGATCATATTGAAATTACAAACTTAATCAAATCGGTTGAAAAATCTTTTGGCCAATTTTTATCAGGTGTCAGGAATTATAAAAACAGCTGTTTTCATAAATTTTGGGACATCTGGCAAAAATTGGCCAACTGAATATTTACTGATTCAATAAGTGATTTTGGTAATGATCGCTACTGGTTCGAATTGGCAAATATTCTGTTGTGTATTTTTTGTTAGATATCCCAGAATTTATGAAATTAGCTGTAAAAACTTTATAAATTTCTGTTTGACCCGGGTCAAAGCTCTACTTTTGTGGTTATTTATACGGCATATGACATTTATATGGCATATGGCATTTATACTACTTACAGTATTTATACTACTTACAGCACTTCTACTTATATGGCAAATGTGCCGTATCGCTGTAATTTTTTTGCCAAGGTAGTTACCCTCAAGATTTTAAATATCTGCACCATTAGTAATGATCTTACTGTATATCTAATACAAAACCACTAATACCAAGAAGACAAAACAAAAAACTAACTAAAAAAAACAAATAGACTAAAGGGAGATTTTTAAAGGAAACAATAAAAAGGGGAACAATGAAATGTAAAAAAAAAAAAAACAAAGAGAAAAGCCCAAGGGCCAACAAAAAGAGAACTACTTCTATTAAGAAATAGTACAAATAGAACGAAAGAAAAAAGAAAAGTATACTATTATAACACATGTTAGGTTTAAAAAAAAATTTTATAACAACTGCAATATTTGTATATCTCAACTATAAAATTTAACAAATTTTTATTCGACTACCAGCCACCTTTCAATACCTCTTATGCCAGAAACCCAATTTTAGACATGTGGAGAACCCATATCTATAGATTATGTCACGTATCGTATCTATTGATAAACAAGGCACATGGTTGCATTCCTGGGTACATCTGAAGTTGGGAAATAAACAATGCCAATCTTTTGAAGGGGTAAACCAAATCACCCACTTTTTGTCAAAAATTTTGAAGAAGACCAACTAAGCAAAAAACACCTAGGAAGAGACCACTTGCACCCAAAAAAAGTAGTTATATTCATGTAAAGACTCAACAACTCTTAAACCTTTTTCTAGGAAAGAAGTGGGGCATCTATACTTTCTTATTGATGAGTAATAAACTCTGGACTTGTTGGCAAGTAGTGTATGAAAACTACTTCTAAACGACAAGTGCCGTGCTTGCAGTGAGTAATAAACTCTAAAAAAGTTAGCAGGTAGTATATAAGAACTACTTCTAAATAACAACTACCAACTTATAGCTGCTAGTATACTCTCTATGTTTTACTAAATATTATTGTGTTTTTTACAAAAAATGTGTTTGGATTTTTTGATACAGGTGATTGTTGGAAAAAGTTGTGTAATATGTGATATAAACTTTTTTGCAAACAATACTATTGTTTGTAAAGAAGTTTACATCGTAAAAGAAACATTTTTTAAAGATATCTTGGCATTTACCAGGCCGATTTAAATACTTTAACTACCATTAGATATGTTTTGACAAGCTCTATAAAAGTCTTTTAAGTTAAAAAAGTAATTAACATACTGTAGTATAAAAAAAGTTTTAGATACATGTATACCACATTTGGAGATCTTAATTTTTATAAATAATTTGAGCTATATTTTACTATGATTACTCTTGGTGGCTTAGCTCAGCATAGCAGACATTTGATTTGATTGGTTAAAAAATGTAAACAAGTAAACAATATATATAATGTAAATCATTTTATTTTTTATTTTATTTTATAAGTGATTTTGCCTTTATTCATATGAACTGCTATAAAATTTATATACAAATATACTAAATCTTTACAACTTGTTACTCTAACTCAATAAAGACTCACCAGGTTAAATATTCAATGTA